GCTAAGATTTGGGGGCTTTTGTTACTGCAGCATGAACTAGCAAAGCTCAGTGAGACAGCAGATAGAATATACATATATAAATAGACCAGATAGACCAGTAGATGAGATTCCAAAGATAGTTCAATCAGCATTAACTAACTACATCCATACTCTCCTCCTAACAGAAAGAATGGAATTCCTGTTCACTAAGATCTGCCTCAAATAGTACTTTGTGAAATGTAAGCACCTTCTCTGGCTACTCAAATCACCAATCAGGACTCTTTTCCCACCCCCCACATTGGAGTGTGGTGGTGCCATCATAGCTCACTGTAACCTCTAACTCAAGGCTCAAGGAATCCTCCTGCCTCAGCCTCCTGAGTAGCTGAGACTACAAGTGTGCACCACCATGCTCCGCTAATTGTTTATTGTTTATGTTCAGAAACAGGGTCTTACTGTGTTCCCCAGGCTGGTCAGGACTGTTGATTGCATGTGACAGAAACCAACCAACTCTAATTCCTGCCCCCTTTCAATCTGCTCCTTTCTCCATCTTCCCAGTCTCAGTAAGTGGCAGCTCCACCCTTCAAGTTGCCCAAGCCCCAAATCTCAATGTTAACCTTGATTTCTTTCATTTATGTCATAGCCAATATGAAGGCAAATCATGTTCAGACCCAGGCAAAGGTTCCTGCTGACCCAGGCTCTCACCCGCACGTTGTCCTTTACTGTCCTCCTGAGGGTGTCTGGAGCTTCCGTGCTGTGTGCTCTCCACCTCCATGCTGGGTCACCACCGACTCCTGCTGTCCAGGGCTTCCAGTGGACTCTCTGAGGCACTGATGTGGAATCTTCCCCATTCGGTGCACCAAGAGCAGCCGCACACGGTGTGCGCTGACATGAAGAGCTGCCAGATCCAACAGGTAAAAATCCTGAGGTCAGAGAGTGCTCTCTCTATTGTGACTCAGATGCGAAGGGAAGATGCCATGGACCCTAAACATCGCAGCATGAGCAGCGTGTGCCACCACGACCTGCAGTGTGTGGTCAGGTGAAAGTTACTTGACTTCAGGAGAGGACAGTGTTCTCTTCAGGCCTTGTCCTCAGTGGCTGGATCTGTGCCCCTCTCCTCTCTCTTCCCCTCTCATCCCCCAGTCTCCATCCCCATTTCTCTGTCTGTTTCCACCTTGCTGTTCCCTTTCACCTGCTTTCTCCTCTTCAGCTTTCATGGTTCTCCTGTCCACCCGCATTTCCCAGGCTAAGGCCTCTGCACTGTCCTGGTGGGGGGATGTGTGTGGATTTAGGCAGTGCTCTCTAGATGTGTCCAGGATGGGGAAACATGGCTCAGCTGCCAGTATAATGGTTTCAGAGAGTGGCCGCTTTTGAAGGCCTTTCACAGCTCCCATTCTAGAATCATGTAGGACTTAAAACTGATGGGCCACAGTGGAATTCTTGGTTCCTCAGGACCTTGTGGTGGACACCTTCTTTCACTGAGCATTCACAGGGTGGTATTAGGTGCCAGGCTCTGCTCTGGGCTAGGGGCACCATAATGAGTAAATATCAGGTCACTACCCCATGGAACCCACCACTGCAGGCATCAAGAGGGGGAGAAAGAGTGGCCTGTTTGTGTCCTTCTCATGTGGTCACCTGCCAGGTCCTGGGGCAGTGGGAGCCAGTGCAAGGAGAGGAGCCCAGTGAGCAAGGCAAAGGGACGATGTCAGACCCAGGGGCTGAGACCCCTACCTGCAGCTGGGCAGCTTCTGGAGTGGACAAGGAGCAGCAGGAAAGGTCATGTCCTGGTGTTCTGGGGCCCACTGTCCCATCTCATTCTGTTGGTGTCAGAATTTGTCCAAAGGGAGGACTCAGTGTCTCTGGAAACAACAGGCCAGAGACAGAATGTGTTTCAGAAAAGGAGAAAGGAATTGTACATCGTGGAAACAGAATATGGTTTTACAGTAGGGCGTCTCTCTCTAGTAACTAGTTAGCGTGTTCCTGTTAATGGAAAATATTGGTGGTGTGAGTTCCCCTGGATCTTCTCATCGTCGTGTAAGTTCATTTGTTCCCCCCTCTCTCCTGTCTTTCCTCCCTCCCCTTCTTCCTTCCTCCCCTTCTTCCTTCCTTCCTTCTTTCCTTCCTGCCTCTCTCCCCTCCCTCCCTCCTTCCTTCCTTCCTTCCTTCCTTCCTTCCTCCCTCCCTCCCTCCCTCCCTCCCTCCGTCCCTCCTTTCCTCCCTCCCTGCTTTCCATCCTTTTCTTTTTTTTTCTCTGTCTCACTCTCTTTCTTTCTTTTGAAGTTTTTGAATAGACCACACTGTACTGAAACCCAGATTATTTACCAAAATCTCTGGAGCTGCTTCTGTCTTTCAGGCAGGGATGTCATCCTGTATCCCTCAGCCCCTCCCAGCCTCCTTCTCCTTTGATTTGTGGGTGCCCCTGGGGCAGGTGCTGAGTCTCAGGGGTTTCTAGTCTTCATCAAGTTCTGCCCACCTGGATGGTTTGTCCCTGTCCTTACCAGATGCCCGCACTGT